CTGGAGATCCAGAAAGAGGAAGATCTGCAATCGGTGTGTGAAGTGGCTGCCCACGTGTTCAGTGATGGAGTAACAAACTGGGGTCGAGTGGTGACGCTCATCTCGTTTGGTGCCTTTGTTGCGAAACACCTGAAGAGCATAAACCAGGAGAAGTGCATCAGCTCGCTGGCAGGGATCATCACGGATGCGCTTGTCTCATCTAAGCGCGAGTGGCTAATGAGCCAGGGAGGCTGGGTGAGTCACTGTCTGTCCTGAACACTGCGAGCTTTTCAGAGCAATTCAATATTTTCCTATTTCTGTGACCTGCTCACTGACAACCATGTGTGTCAGCAAAGCACAGAGGTGACTCACTGTTCCAGTGAAAACCGCAGTCTGAAACATCCAGCCGGAGTTCTGGTGCTTCAGGAGCTCCTTAAAGTGAGCTGCCTGAAGCACTCTTGACCTAAAAATGTGTCCCTGCCCAGCACAGACCGGGCAGCATTCCCCAAGCTGAGCCAGTCCTGGGTGCACTGAGCTTGCTTGAAGCTGGTCCACAGCTGTGTTGGTGCTGTCTCCTGATTGCTGCCTCTGCAGGGCCGGCTGTGGCTCTAATGAGTCTGGGGAGCGCACTCAGATGCGCTGGGCGAGCTGTACCCCAGCCCACTCTGCCGGGGGAAAAAGGCTTTCCGTGCCTTCCTGCCGAAGAAGGGTGGCTGGCAGGGAAATGACTCTCCCTTCTTTCTCCTAGGAGGGCTTCGTTGACTTCTTTCGAGTCGAGGACCTAGAAAGCAGCATCAGAAACTTGCTGATGGCGTTTGCAGGCGTGGCTGGACTGGGGGCGAGCTTGGCCTACATGATCCGGTGAGCCAGGGTATGCTGCAGAGGGACAAAACTCTGGGTGGACCGGCTCTGTTTGGGGCTGGCGAGCTGATCACTTCCTCCTGGGAGTACTTGGGACGCTGGACTTAAATGACCCAAGGAGAATATCTAGGCATCCCCTGAGCAATTCTTCCCTAAGAAGGAAGGCGCGATCCAGTCAGATTGTGGGTACCAATGAGGATTTATTGCTTTGGGAACACAGAGTGGAAGAATTGATATTCTGCTTCCTTCAAGAGGATGATGACAGAAAGCTCAAGTGGACTGCTTCAGTTTTATCCTGGAGGGAACTGATCCGCTTAGCAGCGAGCCACTGAGCACCAGCAGCTCTTGTCTGGACTGAAGGCTGGAGCAGATGTTTCAGGGCTGTGGTTGTGGGTTTCTGGAAATAGCATCTGCTGCTGCTGGTGTCCTGCCTAAACTTGTGGCTTTTCTGTTGGAGCAGTGGCACTGAATGCTGGGCGTTGTGTGAGCCTGCGCCTGCCCCCAGGTGTGCTGGTGAGCGGGCGTTCAGCTGCTGCTGGCTCTGCCCGCATCCGCCCTCCGGAAGCAGCAGTGCCGCCGCAGCAGTCAAGACGTGCAACCCGCTGCCAGAGCATGGGGGGGCTGGAGCCCTGCCCCGCGTGTCCCCTTCCCTCCCAGCGGGGCTTCAGCCAGGTCACTGAGCAGGCAGAGGAGCGATGGGGTGGCGGGGGCGAGGCAGGGCTTGGGGCAGGAACCACCGCCAGCTGCGGCGCGGCTGCGCTGGCCTGTCTGGCTGATCGCGGCTACACCGATGCGACTCGCCACACACAGGCAGTTTAAAAATAGGGAGTGCATTTGTAAGTATGTAAAACCCCCCTGTGGGGTGGGGAGGCTTTAGAGAACCTGTAAATATCGATAAGTCTGTAGAATATGTACATTTTTACAGAGCTAATGATACAAAAAGGGGGAATTTTGAATGTGATAGAACTGCTTATGGGTGCGCTGTACTTCATTCCTCACGTGAAGTAGCATTCCTCTATGAAGTAGCATTCTCCTGCCTTGACTCCAAGTGAGCCTTTCTCTCATGTACTTGAGCAACATTGCCAGGGAGCATAGCGAGGATCAGTGGCCTGGTGGACTCATTGTGCCTGCAGCTTGCTGGCAACAGTTGATGTTTCTGTTTATTTTAATCTTTTTGGTTTTTCTAGTCCTTCTAGCGGGTGGGGAGCTGTGCGAGTTGGTATCGGCCCCTTCCTCCTCTTCCTTTCATTTTGATGCTCTAAGCCATGACTCGAACGAAGCTGATTTTTGAATGTAAATGTTACGGAGCAGAATAAAACTCGTCGGCTCAGATCTGCAGCTCGTGCGAGTCTGTCGGTGCCAGCCCTGGGCTTGGTCCCTGGTCCCCAGCTGAAAGCATTGCTTCTCGGTGCTTGAGGGATGCCTGATGGAAACCCAAGCGGAGAGCTGAACGGTGGTGCTATTGTCAGGCCTGCTTGTTTGCCGAACAAGCACCTTTGTCAATAAATGACTTTTTTTGTTCTCAATCCTCTAGTGCCATTCCCTGCAATGAGATGCTGATGCGCTAAATGCTCCTGCTCTGCTTTGCTGGTGTGGGCCTGTTTGCATGGATGCTGCCTGTGGGGCGCCCCACAGCCTCCTGGTTATTAGAAAGCCTCTGCGGGCTGTGGAAAACTGCTCTGGGTGTCCCTGTGTCACCCATCGGGGCTCCCCG